GCTTTGCTAAAGTGTGAGGCTTCTCTGCCGGGAAGGGACCACAAAAAGAAAATCTGTTGTTTCCTTTTTCCCCAGACCTTTTTATAGGGTGAGCTGGGCCAGCATTTTTAATTACAATGGTGGGGAACTATGGACTGTGGCTTTTAATGGGGTTTGCACTGACCTCATTAAATTCGAGTTTATTGGAGGCAAAATGCTCCCCAAACAAATAGGAACCAGCAAGAGGGAAGGGAGAGGTACCCCTATCCTTGCTGAGGTGGGAATGAGGGCTCAAGTCTCAGCTCCTCCTTTCTCCACTTCCACCCAAGGCTCTGCTTCCTTCCCGCTCGTGGCCCTCCAGGGTGAAGTGGGGCCCAATCCCCCAAGGCAGATTCAGCACAGCCCGGGCTGCAGTGGGGGTAGGGGCTGCTTCCTGTGAAGAGACAGCTGCTGGCCTGAGCACTTGAATTTGACCACCAAAGTTTATTCCCGGGCCACCATAAAAGTGAGCCAGGCGGCAACAAGGAGCTGCTGGCGGCCCTATTTCCTTGAAACAAAAAAGAAAGGCAAAAAAGAATGTCAAAGAGTTGATGTCTAGGAAACTCTGGGGTCTCCCAACAGAGACATCTGGAAAATAATAAAAGGAAGGCATGAAGTTTAAAATGTTCTCTAGTGTTGATAAGACTTGTTTTTCAACAACTCAAAAAAACCGCTAGCAACTGGAAGTTGCTGCTAGGGTAAAGGAAAGAAGGCCCTGGCCACTGAGGTCAGCTAGACATTTGTGGGCAAAAATGCCCACGGTGTGAAATAGCCTCCCTGCCCAGCCCTGGGTCCAGGCTACCTGGAAGCTTCAGCTGAGCTGCTTGCTCCAGGCTACACCCTCTCAGCCTGCTGATTCTGGCCAAAGCCTCAATGTCTCCCCACACAAGACCCATCCCTGGCCCCCAATCCCTTCCTTGTCAAGCCCGCTCCAGGTTGCTTATTTGTACCTTATCTGGTGGGTACCTGTGGCCTCTCCAACTGCTTTAAGTCCTGAAATTCTGAAATTCTCTGCAGCAGGGCCATCCCGCCCACCCCACTGGATGTTGGTGTCCTCAGTCAGCGCCACCAGCCAGCCTGGCCATTAGCAGGCGGCTGCGATTTGGGCGGCTCTCCCGGTAGCCTGACCCTGGCTAAGGCAGACTCCAGCACCCTTCCCTCCCACACACGGACAACAGGGGCGGCTTCAGAAGGAGGCAGCAGTGTCTCCCAAATTCTGGCCTGGGTGGCTCCCAGATCAAACTCCCGCACACAGTGTTGGAGCCTCCTGGTAGCTTGTCTATTTCCTCCTGCTGATCTGGGTTCTAGAGAGCAGATCTTGGTAGGGAAAGGAGCCCATCCCACAGACCATGAGCTGGGAAGGAAAATGCTGAAAGGAGAAATGGGGCCTGCATGAGCTCCAGTGGGCTTGGATTGTAAATTCAGCCTGTGTGGAGTCAATAAAAAGATAAGCAGAGAGAGTCCCATGGATAGACACCTTCATTTGTTCACAGGCTGGGCCAGCAAGGAACACACATTAGAAACTGGCTTTCACCTTCTTGCCTATATTTCTCTCCCTTAGAGTAATACCACTGCCTGCAATAATCCCTTTAGTATGCTTTGGGATTTTCAGGTCAGCAGTTTATCATGCACCCGGGATACCCCAGCCCCAGCCAGGGAAAAAGAAGGGGGTGGGACTGCTAGTTCCTGGCTTCCACCTCTTCTCAGACTTGGCCATTGCCCCAAGCCTGAGTCCCCAAGTCAGGCCACCTAAGCTGCTGGACGCTGCTCAGAGGTTCCTGGGACCTAAGGAGGAGGTAGTGGGGAGGGAGAAGGGCAGTTCCTTGCCCCCACAGGCCCCACCCAGCTTCCTCTGTGGAGAGATTGTCCCAGGAGGCTAGCAACCCGACCCTATTTCTTCCCATAAAAGCCCCATTTTACGAGCCCGTTTCACTGGCCCCCTCACCAAATGCTCCAAAATGAAGGAAATGTCTTAAAAGCAGTCTGGAAATGGAGCCGCTGCTATTGGGCTTTAGTTTCCTAAGCCAGTGGCCGTGGCACAGAAAATACCTTTTCTGGATGGGATTGCTCTGTTGGGCCACCCAGATCTCCCGCCTCGCCTCAGAGCAGAGGCCAGTTGGCCAGAGCCCTGATTCTCTGGATTTAGCTCCTACTTTAAGGCTCGGACCTAGTCCATGCTGATCAAAGTGAGCTCGCGGCATTTTTATGAGATCAACCTCAGTGGCTCTTTACTAGCAATCAGATGCCTAGGTTGAAAATGCAAAAGGGAACAAACAGCTAATCAATCCAAAAAGGAAAAGGAAAAAAAAGAGGGGGATTGAGGAGGCATGGGGTGAAAAAATTCAGGTGACACAGAGCAAAAAGTGTCCTGTCACCAAAAACAAAAAAAGATTCTTTGGCTCCAGCAAGAATCATTTGTTTGTGGATTTGTTCCAGCCTCCAGGCCCTGCCTTCTGCCTGCACATTCTGCCCTGATTTCCGGAACCTGGAAGCCTGGGCGGGCAGTGGGGAACTCTGACTCGCCTGAGCTCTGAAGCTTGCTCCGAAAGATTCCACAGTGAGGACTGCTGCGTGGGGTGAGTGTGGTGGCCTATGCCTCCTTACCCCAGCAGGGAAGGGGCCTTCTGCTCAGGATTTACAAGTCTCCCCCATTTCGCTGCTTTCCTCTCTGCGGGCTCAGTGGTTTTCTCCTCACTATAGCCAGAAGTTGAGTTACAGGAAGATTCGCCAGAGATTTATCGCCTGGCCCCAAACTTGGAGAGCCTGGTTGTCATAAACAGCCGTCTATTGTCTAGACTTTTATCTCTGGGTATGGATCGTGCATTAGTGAGGCTCAGGAGACATGGGGCTGGCTCTGTGGGGTGTGCATGCAGCCAGTGCCTGCCCCAGGCCCCAAGGGTTTCTTTGGGTCAGTTTATGAGAGTGCACAAATTTGTGTACGCTCTTGGAGCTGGGCAGGTACGCCTGAGTGTTTTCGAGTGGAGGCCCAAGGTAGGGAAGTTGCTTTTTCTCTGTATCTGGGAACATTCCGGTGCGTGTACTTGTGTGTTGGGTGAGAATTTGTCACGGTATGCTTTGTTTCTGGGGCATTTTAAGTGTTCCTGCCTGGGCTTTTTCGGGTTTTATTAACTTGCATCCGCTTGGCCTGTTTATGTCCCTTCCAAGCAGATCATCTGGTGTTTTTCAATATTGGAGTGCATTGTGTGTATTTGGCTTCTCTCAGGAAATGGTTTTGGGTGATACCTTCCCAGTCTTACTCCCTCAGATTCCCCCACCCACCCTGAGTCACACCTCAGCTTCTGCCTCCACCAGGGTGTCTGGCCCTACCCCGCTCTCTGCAAGTCCCTAAATCTCCAAAGTGCCTGCCAATTTTATGTCACAGACATGAAGCACATTTTTTGCAGGGTGAGGTCTGGCTATCTCTATCTTTCCCACACTAGGAGGAAGGGTCCAGCTCATAAGCCACCTCACTATCTGGGACTCCCCTTCCCAGGCTGAGGGAACATAAGAAAGGGCCTACCCAGTCCATTTCAACTGTTTAAAATACTATCCACGGAGCTCTAGATACTGCCAAAGAGAGCCTGCTGTTCCTTCCCTGGGGCTTCCTGGCTACTCCTTCAGCCCCTTGAGCCCAGGCATTTTGTAACCTAAGTGGCACTTTGCCCAGATTAAACATCTATGGCAGGGACACTTATCACCTTAGATCTTGGGGGCAGAGCTGCTTTGAAAGCCAGGATCATTTAACATCACCAGAAATAATCAAATCCTCCCCCTTTGTGTTTGGGTGATGAGAACACAAGGGTAGGAGAAGGCCTGGGAGTTCCACCAACCAATCCCCCTGCTCCTGTGCGCTCCCACCCGGGACCTAGACCCTCATGTCCCTAATATCCCTGAGGTGCTCTCAACCAGAAAGGTAAATTGGGAGGGGGCAGATCCCAGAGGCCAGTTTTCTAGTTGGGGAGGGTGGAGGTGACAAAAATTAGAGGCTTTGGGAGCTTCGGATTGAACCAGAATTTCCCATCATTGTTTTCTGTGCATTCTTCCCTTCCTTGCAATTATAATTCCAATTTAAGAAGGCCTTAAAATGGTTCCAAGAGCCCAGAGGATGGGAAAGTGAGCTGTGAGGTCCAGGGAAAAGGTAAATCCTCCGCAGATATCCCACACCAATTAATTTTCTCTCCTTCTTTCTCTCTGTACATCCCCGGAGCTACCCTGGAGGAAAAGGATCAAAGATCTCAGTTCGGGATCCTTCCTCCCAGAGCCTGTGCATGGCCCACCGCCGAAGGCTGCCGCGGCGGATCCGGAGCTCTTTCCATCTCGCCGGAAGGCTGCGGCGCTGCCCTACGCTCCGGGTCTCCCTGGGTCCCTCCATTCTTGCCTTCTCCCTCCCCCTAGACCAACAAATATACAAAATGCTTGTTTCTCCGCACCCCAGGCCTCCGCGCAGCCGGCTCCGCGCTCGGGAGTCGCGGCCCCCGCACTGGGTCCTTACGCGTTCTGCTTCCAATCCCACCGACTGCAGCCTCCTTCTTTGCTAGCTGCCCGGGTAAAACGCTTCTGTCGCACTTTCCTGCCTCTCCCCCTTTCTTTCCGCCTCTGGATCTGAGAAATAAATAAAATCAAGTCTCCTACCGCACCAGCCCTCCCCACCCCTGCTGCCTCACTTCTGCTCCTTACCGAGTGTACCGCCTTGTTTTCTGAAGGAAACCGTAACATTCAGACATTTAAGCTGTAAATGAACTTTTCTTTATGATGTTTAATTTTCTTTCCAGTTCTTAGGTCCTGCTCCGCTTCGCAGTGGAATGGAACGGATTTAGAAGCCTGCAGTAGGGGAGGAGGGAGTGGAGAGACGGAGCCCAGAGTTACAGACAGCCGCGAGAGGTACGGAAGACCGGGAGATACTGAGAAAAAGAGAGGCGGGGGGAGGGGAGGGTGGAGGAGGAAGGAGGGAGGGAGGGGTCCCCAGCTGGCAAGGAGCGGAGCCAGAGAGAGAGAAAAAGAGAGAAAAGTTTCCCGGAGTCTTCATTAGTTGATTTCTCTGTCCACCGCTTTCCCCGGCCGGTTCATCCCCAGTAAAGAAAGGGGGGGGGTGTTATTTTTTTAAGGCCCCAAAGAACCCGATGTTTACAAGACCAGAAATGCCACCTCCGCGTCCTGGCAGAGAAAAGGCTGAAATGGAGGACCGGCGCCTTCCTTATAAGGTACGATGCTAACTTGACCTTCACTTTGTCTTGGCGCCCCCGCCCACCCAGACTGCTGCAGGCGACCGGGCGAGGGAGAGCAACCGCCGACCCTTGTTTCTGCCTCCCTCCCGCCTCTTTTTCTCTTTCAATCTTTCTCTCTCTTTTTTCTTACTTTCATTTCCTTCCTTCTGTCTTTTTCTTCCTCTTTTTTGTGTCTTTCCTTTTTCATTTTCTTTCTTTCTTCTTTTTCTCCTGCTGTTCTTCTCGCTCCCTTTCTTTCACTCATTCCTTTTACCCTTGACCGGCTGTTTCATAGCTTCCCTGAGTTCTCTCTTGCCTTGCTCTCAGGCACTTCCTTGATCTTTCTCTCTCTTCCACAACCTTCTGGTCCCTTCTGGTCTCAAATCCCAGAAACAACAACGACAAAAATATTTTCAGTCCTTCCTTCATCCCCACTCTGAACTGACCTTCACAGCTCCAGCCTGGCTTTTGCCCCACCCAGGTTTTCCTGGGGGAGAGGGGGAACGCCAAAAGGGGATCAAAAGGGGTTTCACTTTGGGCCCAGGGCCCGCTTGGGGATGATAAGACCCTGTCTTCCTCACATTGGCCCCCTCTGCAAAGTCTCTGTGACCCTAGTGGGGTTGGACTGACAGCAAAGCCTCAGGCTGTGGGGGCATGGGGAGAGCAGATCCCACAGCTCCTGAAACTATGGGGAGGGGAGTGGAGTTCAAATACCAAATTGTGGCTCAGCCTTCTCTGGCTTTCAACCCCTAAAATCCTAGAACTTTCCCTTAAGACACCTGGTGAGGAGATTTAGAGAATTAGGGATTTATAGAGATTCACACACATGTAAAAATAGGATAGAGAAAGACTATGAGGGCCCTCTACCTTGTCTCTTGCTGCCTCCCAGGCTGCAGCAGAGCCTCCGACATTAACTCTAATCGTATCTTGTGTGGCTATAAAGTAATATTATTGACACCCCTATAATTATCTATTATCCCCTTACTTGTAATGATTATAATACTAGGGGAGGTAGGTCTATGCCGACAAAGTAAAGCCAAGCAAATATCCTGGAAAATGAAACTGGATCGGAGCATTCAAATGCGATCTCTTGTGTATTTTTAAGTATGTTCCAAAATCTATAAGCTCCTGCATAGGGCCTGCTGGATTTAGGAGTAGCCATTTTGTAGGGTTTAGGGTGATGTTGGGAGACCCTACCATCTCCTTTTCCTCTACATCCCATACAACCCCTGGCCCCTCCTCCTCTGCACAGACATCAGAGAGGGTCAGACAATAAAAGAGAAATGCTTTCTCTCTCTCCCCCTACAATTATCTAAATAATTGCATGAATTCTTCCTGGAATACCACTGTGCAGTCAGGGTCAGGATTTCAGCAGGAAGTGCAGGGGACAGAATTCCAAATGGGGGAAGCTGAGAGAGTCCTGCGTTCTTACATTCCCAGACTTTATAGTTCTGTCTAGTGTTACATTGTTTCTTCAGGCAAAGATCTTTGTTCGCCTTCAGTCATATTTCTCCCTTCCCCCTCCCTTTCTTTCGCTTCCCCATCCCCCTTTTTTGAGTCCCTTTAAAGGAGATTCAGATCATCTTCTGCTCTTAATAGATGACTATAAAAGTAAAATTAATTCCCCCCTGCCCTTTAATATCAATATCTTTCCGTTAAGTATGCACATAGGCGAGAATAAACAGAATTAAGTGCTGCAACCCAAACCAGCAATTATACCCAAGGTTTTTTTCGTGTGTGTGTTTTTTAATTTTATTTTCATTGGATCTGGCTTATCTGGGGATGTTCACTTTGGCAAGAGATAACCAGGGGGTATTTGTATTTTTTTACAAGTTCGTTGGGGCCTGAGCCAGCGCCGACATGGTAGAGAAAGCAACCGCGAAACTAAAGAGAGCCAGACGAGGGAAGAGAGCGCCAGACGGAGGTGAAAGTGAACCACGCAGAGGAATGCAGGCAAGGGAGCAAGGCGGCAGTTCCCCGAACAAACGTGGCAGAGGGCAACACGGGCACTCACAGACAGAGGTTTATGTATTTTTATTTTTTAAAAAATCTGATTTGGTGTTCTATGAGAAAAAGGGAAAATCTCGGGAACGGGAATACAGAGGGAATTATCCGGGTCCTAGCTCACCACATGAACGCCCAGAAGGAGAGAGCGCTGGAAAAACCTGAGCGGGTGTCGGGACAGCACCCGGCTCCAGTCAGCCGCTGTCCCTTACGCTGCCGGGCAGGACCCACGAAGCCCCCCCTCGCGGCCACCCGGGCTTCCTTGGTCTTATCATCTCCATCTTTATGAAGAGGCTTGTTAACAAGACCAGCGAGCTGGCCACGCACATCTATCTCAGCCGCGCCCGCTCAGTTGAGCAGCGGGCCGGCGGGGGGACTGGGAGGCGCTAATGAATTGATTCCTTCGGACTGTAAAATATGGCGGCGTCTACACCGAACCCAAGGACTCATAAACAATATCTCTGTTGGGCGTGAGTGCACTGTCTCTCAAAGAATTTTTCCATAGGCATGTGTCAGAGGGTTCCGGATTTTTAGTTGCTAAGGAGAGACCCAAATGGGACTAATTTTAGGGGGCCAAAACAGTTCGTTCAGTGCCAGAAAATGCTTCCCCAAAGGGGTTGGGAGCGTGTTTTGTTGGAAAAAAGCTTGGGTTATAGGAAAGCCTTCCCTGCTACTTGTGAAGACCCAGGCCAGTTTAAGAATTACAAGGAAGCTAAGGGGCTGTGTGACCCAGAAACCTCTCTGTCCCAGCTGGATGCGGGGGACTTGAGCTGCTCCGTCTGGGATGTGAGAGGGACATAGAAGCAGAGGTCCGGCCTTTGCTTCATGCTGCTTTCTATGCTCAAGATTCAAAAATAACTTATAAAAATGAAACCAGGCAGGGTGCAGTGGCTCATGCCTGTAATACCAGCGCTTCGGGAGGCCGAGGGGGCGGATCACGAGGTCAAAAGATCGAGACCATCCTGGCCAACTTGGTGAAGCCCCGTCTCTACTAAAAATACAAAAACTAAAAATACAAAAATTAGCTGGGTGTGGTGCGCGCCTATAGTCCTAGCTACTGGGGAGGCTGAGGAAGGAGAATAGCTAGAACCTGGGAGGCAAAGGTTGTAGTGAGCTGAGATTGCGCTACTGCACCCCAGCCTGGTGACAGAGTGAGACTCAGTCTCAGAAAACAATGAAAAATAAAATAAATAAAAAATAAAAATGAAACCAGCCCTAGACTTTGGAAGCCCTTGAAGGCTCAGCACCCACTCAGGAATCCATCTGCCTGTTACATGCCTTGCCAAGCCACGGTGCCACCCTTTTCTAACAGGCAGTGCAGAGAAACTATAATATACTTATATTAGGTCTAGAAGAATGCATCTTGAGACACATGGGTAACCTAATTATATCATGCTTATTTCATACAGGCATGATTATGCAGTGGGACCCTGGTGCAAAAGGGACTTTGCACTCTAAATATAGACCCCAGCTTGGGACAAAAGTTGCAACAGAGAAATAGACATAGGAGAACACTTATGTAAGTAACGCATGTAGACATAGAAGGGGGATTTAAAAGACAGAAATAATGGAAGTACAGAAGAACAGGAAAAAAAAGACCCAGCAGATGGAGATTACCATTGCCAATGCCTGAACTTCCTCCTGCTAGTAAGATTGCTAGAGAAATGTGTCTTAAACAGTTCACAAATCCAGAGGAATGCACTTTCAATGTATTTAGCACACACACAGCATATTTATAAACATAACTCAGAATGTATTTTCCATACATTGGGTAGATATGCACTTTATGTATATATAGTATTTCCCATGCAGTTTTAAAATGTAGACATATTTTCTATCTATTGGTTTTATATGCCTTATGGAGTATATGCTCACATGTCGCTAAATAGACTCAGGACTGCACATTCCTTGTGTAGGATGTGTGTGTAGTGGTTATATGTGTAAATAAAGTTTTACATGTGGTGAATATACGTGCTGTATGTAATCCTTTCCCAGTGGGTTGCTTTCACATACAGTAGATAAAAGTGCCTTTGTGTTTATATTTTATAGAGAAAATATTTTCTATGCCTAGAGTGTACCTGTAGTATAGATATCTGTACATTTTAGACTGTGTTTCAATTTATTAGCAGCACTGTGACCAAGTGTGTGCTTTATGGAATATCGTTTCCATGCTATGCATGGGGACTATGCACCTTTCAAAGACAGCTTCCCAAGCAAGGGCTGCTGGTGGGTTCCATCCTCACAGACCTGTCTTTGAAGGAACCTCTCCACTCTGGGCCAGGTAAACTGACAAAGTGAAGACTTGCCTCCTAAGCGGCTCTGGCTGGAAGAGGAGAAATCACCTGCTAGCAACGGGCTGGTTTAGATTGGCTAAAGGTCCAGCTGTGTTTGGTCTTGTCGAGGCCCAATTTCTTGGCTCCTGTGCCAGGCTCCAGCGGGCGGCACAGGTCTTAGGAGCCTCCAGGGCAGAGCCTCCAGCGATGAGAAGCCAGGGAGGAGGGCGGGCCGCCGCTGCCGCCGCCGTGGGGACACCGCGCGCCCAGCAGAGGGAAGGCGCTTAGGAGAAAGGTCTGGTTCCCGCAACCCGGGCAGTGCATCAGACTCCGGCTGCTCTTGGAGGTCTATTACACTCACAGGGCGTCCCCCGCCAGGCCTCGGGTGCTCAGGAACAGGCGACTGGACAGGTCCGGATCTCGGCGAGGCAGCCTCCACAGCTCCGGCCAGCAGGGGTCATCTCGTCCTTCGCGGGGGCCCAGCAGCCCTCGGGAGGAGACCAGCGCTGCCGGCGCTGTCGGGCGCTGGAGCTGCTTGGGTCAGCCGGGGCTGCGGGCGCGCAGGGTTTCCTCTCCCTGGACCCTGGAGATGACCGCAGCCGGAACCGCGACGGCCGGGGAATTGGACCAAGGTCTCACAGCCCTCGCTATAGGGCTGGGGCGCTGTGGACTTCAGGCGCGAGTCAGGGAGTGGCCCAGGCGCCCGCGTCGTCCACCAGTGGCCGGCGCGTCTTTGTTTCGGGGCCTCTCCTAAAGTGACAACGGCGAGCACCGCGCAGGGCTGCAGCGCGGAGCGGAGGGCGAAGCTGGGGAGTCCTGCAGCGGCGGGCGCGGGCCACGGCCTCTCTGCGCTAAACCGGCAGCGCAGTCTCGACCCAGGCACACGCAGAAAGGCGGCCGCTCGGACCGAGGCTCGGCATAGGCGCGCTGTGGGATCGGGCCTGCCTTCCACCTCCCTCTGAATTGCACCGGAGCTTTCCGCGCCTACAGGTGCGGTGCGGAGAGGATTGGCGGCTCCAGAGTGCGTTTCCCGCGCGGCCTGGGGCCGAAAACACCTCTCCTGCTTTCCTGGATATAGCGGGGAGGATGGGTAGGGGCTCCGGCCTGGCCGGAACCCCAAGTCCCCGGGGTTTGCTTTGTTCGCGGATGGGGCCAGCGGTCCCTGCTCCGCTCTGGGTCTGAGCCATCGATCGCGCAGGATTTCCGGCTGCATTAGCATCCACAGAACCCAGACTGCCAGACCCATCTCCTGCCCGCTCTATAGCGGCTTAGTGGCTTTAAATACCCAGTTTCATCTGTGCACGTCAGAGTGGAGCAGAATAACTGCGAGAATTACCAGGTCCAAATACAGAACTCATTCGGCGATATAAGATTATACACGCACAACAGCAGAATTGTTGTCTACCTAAATTATCCGGATTATTTCCTACCTTTTCTTGCTCCTCAAAACCCGGCTAGAGACACGGAGTGCTTTGTCTTAAAGTTAGTAGAGTCGATTGTAGTTTGGGGGTTTAAACTGGGCAAATAGTTGCAACATAGAGGAAATCCTCACCCAGATCCAGGGCTCAGCTGCGCCCTAAGTATTTGGATCGCGGTTCCAGCCATGACCTCCTCTTTGGCCAGGAGACCCAGCGATTTGTTTTTCAGTCATAAGGAGGAGGCTAGTGTCTTTCCTTCTCTGGCAACATCCCCAGTGTTTGCGTTGAGTCTTTGGATCTGCAGAGACATCACCCAACTAGGTGTCTTCTCTCTCAAATTGGGAGAGTCTCTGGGAATAAATTTAAAGGCCAGTTATTTGCGGCCTTCCTAAATCCCTCTTTTTCTTTTGCCAGAGATGTCCCTATTGTTGACCCTTCCTGTGAAGACACGTCTTGAGAATCAGATAGTCTTTTGCCTGGGTTCCCTGGAACTCAGACTCCTCCTATCCTCCTTTATTCAGACCCAGGCTCAACCACTAAGCCCCTCCCCCAGCTCATGGCTGCCCAAGCTGCCCGTCTTCGATCGATGCTGCACTCTGTGGGGCATTTATGCGAGCACCCTAAGACTTTGGGTCTCCTTTCTGTCCATACCCCTCAGCTTCACAAGCAGCTAGGACTAGGGTTTTTAAAAATGGTATTTGATCTAAATTTGCTAGTTTCTCTAATTATAGGAATAAAGAAAGGGAGGGAAAGAGAGAAAGGAAGATTTCAGGGCAGGAGGTGTGGCTCAGAGGCTGGACTTGGTGGGGACCCGTCGTATTCCTGAGGGTGGAAGGGGAATTTGCAGGAGACTCCTTTGATGGGAGCCAAACAGATAGAAAAGGTAACTGGGGAGAGAGGAGGGAAGAGGCAAAAGGGAGAGAAAGAGAGAGGGCATTTCTTACAGAAGGTAGGGGTGGTTGTATGTGCAGAGGGCTCATGGGCACATCTGTACTCTACCACTGGCCTGGGCCTGAGCTTACCTCTGGCTTGGCCTGGAGGGGGTCGCTGGCTTCAAAAGGTGGAGCCTATTTTGCTAGTTCCAAGGGGTCTTTAGCCCCCTCTCAACATCTTGCAATACACAAGTTTCATCTCAGAGTGAAGCCACAGGATTAAGATCACAGGGTTGAAGCTCTAAGCCCACCAACCCTGCTCCATCTCAGTCCCTGGATTACTGGTTACTCTTACTGCCCCAGTATCCCAGTACAGACCACCAGTGCCCCTCTCCCAGCTTCTATTTGTCAAGTTCCTGCAGCACAGACCTCCTATTCTGAAGCTGGTTTCAACCTCGTTTAGTCTGCCCACGTTATTTTTATGGCCCCATGACTCCTCAAATCTCCCTCTCCTTCCCCAAGTCTACCACCCCCCAATTTTCTCTCTGCTATAATTGCTTTGTACTGCAGATGGTAGCTCATCAACAGATCTTGGTTGCTTGTATATTTTTGTTGCCCCTGCAACCACTCTTCCTTGATTATTATTATACATTTATTATTTTTATTATTCACCTGAGCTGGAGAAAAAAAAGTGGAGAACAGCTAGGAGGCTGGGACTTCCATTCTTTTGGGGTAGAATTATTGTTTTCAAAAAATCACAATCATAATTCATGTTTTAATTATTATTATTATCAATATTAATATGATGAAGCAACTCTGTACAAGGACTATATAAAGGGAAAACGTGCTAAAGACAGATGTTTGAATAGGAGGGTACACTACAGAGAGCTGGGGAGGCAGGTAGGG